TCGCTATAACGAGAAGGCAACAGAGAGGTATAGTTTTTTAGGCTTAGTCACACTGTAGCGAGAGAGTCTCATGTTGGGTTTTTAATTTGAGGTAAGGAAGGACTCTTCCCTATCTCATTGTACTTAGAATTCGTTTGTTGAGGGCATCAGAAAACTGTGATCACAGTGTCACAATGAGTATGACTAACGTATAGTGAGCACACATAGGTGTTGTATGTGGATTGTTTAATGGTGACTTGTATGTGAATTGGAGTGGAATGTTGAAAGTATTACTTTGTATTTGTTTGATGTATGATTTGAATTATGTTAGTAAATGTGTGAAACGTGCAAAGTGAGATTATGTGCTTGTGTGTGATAGTGTAGAGTACTCACCCTTACATTGATTTTCAGGTGACTAAGACGATCAGTACCAGACTCAGTGAACGGGAGCGATGAAACTACCATAGGACTTAGGAAATTATTTTTTAAAATTATGATGTAATTAAATTAGTCCTGTAGCATTTATTTTGATGCAAACTTGTAACCCTCCCTTATTTTGAAATACTTTATCGAAACTTTGTATTGAGAACCATTTGAATGAAATTATTATTATTTTCATTTATTGCGAAATTAATTTATTTGGAAAAATATTTGGGAATTAAATTAAGGTGTTACAATTTTCCTTTGCCTCACATTGATGTGCTATAGGTAATACAACCTAACATTCATTCTTCTCTTTCATGGATGGTTACTCGAGTTACAATCAGGTTAAAATAGTTGAAAAGGAAATGGAGAAAACTATGTTCATTACACCTTAGGGTACCTTTTGCTACAATGTCACGCCATTCAATTTGAAAAATGTCGGTGCAACATATTAAAGGGAAATGGTGACTTTATTTCATTATATGATGCACAAGGAGGTTAAAGTCTATGTGGATGATATGTGATGAAGCGGTTTCATGTTGTGTTTAAAAGATTTGTCGCAAATCCTTATCCAAATTTAAACAAATTAATGTAGTACTAGGGTTACCATAGATTGTCTCCCGTGAACATTGGCTATTAATCTCCATTAAACATATTGAAGGCATTAATTGAAAAATCAATTAAAATGGGGGAGTTTTGTGGTTTCAAATCAAGATAAAGAGCAGCAAGCAAACAAGTTTAATTAATTCAAACAATAGAAAGTAGCAATCCTTAGTTCATCCACATAGATTCTATCCTCATTCCACTCAAGATTTAACACCCATCCTCTCTCCCATAAATTAAGTTAATTTAACAAGTAAAAACCAACCTTATAGTCTTAACGAAATTATGCAATTTGTTAGGCTCTAATCCCTTATCCCAAGATTACGCAACCTTAGAATTAAACCTAGGATTAAGCAATCCCTAGTTTAGAATCTCCTTAAAATGAATTAGGGTTAATTAAGTAATGTCTCCCTTATTCACCATTAATTCAATTCAAGAGGCAAGGAAGAAGTAATTCATGAAAAGAAAGAAGTTATATTATCATTAAAATCAAGAAACTCACGAATCCATGTGAACTCACTAAGGCTTACACAAAAATTTATCCTTCCATGGAAATGGGGGTCAAAAACACAGTTTGGAAATGCAGAAAACTCATTGGCATTAGTGTAAAAGTAAGAGAAATGAGAAATCAAATCCTAGGTTGGACCCTTGGCTATCACCTAAGGTTGCCCTAAGCTCTGGAAAATGTCCTAATTTAGTAAGGAAGAGAAAAGGTATGAAAAGTGTAAGAGCTCCTACCCTAATTTGGCAAAAATCTATTTATACTAAGGCTGACGCCCTCCAAAGTGATTACTTTAATTCTTTCATAGAAGACACGCACAACATTTGCCTTTCTGTAGTATCCACTATCAACTTTGATAGTAGACACGCGTAGCACTGATACATTTTGGACTCTCTGAAGTTGTCACTATGAACTTTAATAGTAGTTACGCGTAGCACCTTCAATTCTGCACGCTCTGGAGTGACTACTATGAACTTTCATAGTAGCCACCCGCAAGCTTAGTGGATTCTGGCCTGCTGTAGTCGTCACTTTTAGCTTTGAAAGTGAACACTTTGGTCCCTTTGCTGGAAGTAGCTTGCTGTAGTGGTCACTATCAATCTTGAAAGTAGTTACTTTCACCTCAAATTCTTCAAAATCCAATAAATCTTCAAAATAAGCTTGAGCATTCCTGCCACGTTATTTAAATGATCAAAACATGTAAAATAAACTATCTAAATTAATTTAAATTAACCAAAAACTAAGAAACCTATATTATTTAGCCTAATTAGAATATTCATCTTATTTACACTATCTAAGTCTATTCTTTTCTATAAAAAAAGTAATAAATGATGTATAAAAATTTAGTAGAATGTGGATTCATCAATATGATTGCCAAATCAAAGACTGAAAAATATCTTGTTGTAAATATACACAAGTTGTTTGAGCAGTTGAGGAAATTCAAATTACGATTGAATCCAACTAAATATACCTTTAGCGTGAAATTAGACAAGTTGTTAGGATTCATAGTTGATCAAAAGGGAATAGTGATTGAGATGCCACCCCCTTGCACCGAAAAAGAAGTCCTCGAATTTTTGGAGAAATTGAATTATATTGTCTGGTTCATATGCCAATTAACTGCCACTTGTGAGTTAATTTTTAAGCTGTTACAAAAATATTAGACAGTGAAGTAGAATAATTATTGTCAAGAAGCTTTTGAGAAGATTAAACAATATTTAAAAAAATCTCCCAATACTAGTGTTGCCATTACTAGAGAGACCATTGATTATGTATTTGACAGTTTTGGAAGGATGCATAGGATGTGTTTTAGGTCAGCATAATGAATTGGGTTGGAAAGAGTCGTCATTTATTACTTGAGCAAGAAATTCACAAACTACTAAGCTAGATACTCTTTGTTAGAGTGAACCTGTTATGCCTAGGCTTAGACAACTCGTAGGTTAAGGCAATATATGTTGAGTCACACGACTTGGGTGGTGTAAAAAATGGACCCAATCAAATACATTTTTGGGAAACCAACCTTTACTAGAAGGATTGCTCGATGGCAAGTTCTCTTATAAGAATATGATATCGTGTATGTTACCTAGAAAACGATCAAGGTTAGTGCTCTCATAGGTTTCCTAGCTCATTAGCCAATGAATGATTATCACTCAATGTAGTATGAATTTCTTGATGAAAATATAGTGGTATTGTTTAATGAGAAATAATCTTCAATAAAAGACAAATGAGTCATGATGTCTGATGGTACTTCTAATGCACTTGGACACAAGATTGGTGATATACTGATTTTTCTAAAAAAGCAATATATTTTGATCACAACTAGGTCATCATTTAATTGTACAAGTAATATAGTTGAATATAAAGCATATGCTATAGGAATTTAAACAGCTATAGAGCCAAATATCAAAATTCTTAAGGTGTATAGTGACTCAACTTTGGTCATCCACCTGTTGAAAGGTGAATGGGAGACTCAAAATGCAAAATTAATTCCTTATTAAGCCTAATTAAAGATTTGGTGAAGTATTTTGATGAAATTACTTTTTAACACATTCTCGTGAGGAAATTCAATTTGCTGATGCTTTAACCACTCTGTCATCAATGTTTGTAGTGTGTTAAAAGGAAGATATGTCACTCATAAAGATGAAACAACTTGATCTTCTTACCTACTATCAAATGATAGAAGAGAAATCTGATGATAAACTCTGTACCATGACATTAAGAGTTACCTAAACAACTAAGAATACCCCTTAAATGTTGCTGATAATGACAAAAGAATACTAAGGAGATTAGTAATGGGTTTCTTTCTGAATGAAGATGTGCTCTATAAAAGGAATCATAATATGGTACTTCTCAGATGTGTGGATGCTTCAAAAGCACGAGAAATCATATAAGAGATTGATGAAGGTTCATTTGGGACTTATGCCAATGAACATGCTATAATAAAGAAAATTCTAAGGGCTGGATATCACTAGTTGACAATGGAGGCCGATTACTTTCGTTACGTGAAGACATATTATAAATGTCAAATATATGTTGACAATATTAATGTTCCTCTAACAACTTTAAATATCTTGTCATCACCCTGACCTTTCTCAATGATGAGAATGAATATTATTAGACTCATTGAACCTAAAGCTTTTACTGGTCACCACTTTATTCTTGTTGCCATTGACTATTTTACAGAATGAGTCGGAGCTACCTTATATACTAGTATGACTTGAAATTTGGTGGTGAGGTTCATTAAAAAATACTTGATCTGTCGGTACGACCTTTGAAGAAATTGATAATAGATAACAACACTAATTTAAATAATAAAATGATGAAAGAATAGTGTCACAACTTCAAGATTCAATAACATAATTCCTCCCCTGTCGTCCAAAGATGAATGGAGCAATTGAAATAACCAATAAAAATATTAAGAAAATCATTCAAAAGATGCTGGAAACACATAGGGATTGGCATGAAATGTTGTCGTTTGACTTACATGGATATTAAACTTCAATTCGTACTTTAACTGGAACAACTCTATATTTTTTAGTATACAAAATGAAAGAAGTACTTTCTATTGAGGTTGAAATTTCTTCTTTTAAGAGTATTGGTGGAAACCAAATTTGAGGAAGCATAATGAATTTAGTCTCATTTCAATCAATTAAATCTCATTGAAAGAAAATGGTTGAACGCATTATATCATTACGCTAATACTTTTCTTTCATGTAAACGACTCTTGAATTCATTTTTTATTTTAAAGATCAGAATGCTCTGAAACTTTTTTCAAAATCTTTTTTAATAAATTTTTATGGCGACTTCTCTTATTTTTTAAAAATATTTTATTCATAAAAATGCTTTTGAGAAAACATTTTGCCATCCCGTTGCCACCCAGTTGCAAAACCAAAAAACTATTTTGATGAAGTTATGTAGAAAGAACTTTCTTAAAAAAATGTGTATTTATTCCTTACCAAACATTGAACAAATTGATAAACAATCATGCACATTCCTAATCACGGAAAGTATGGGATAAGAAAATTTCTATATTAATGTTTCATTAAAGACAATGCAATACATATTTCACAATTAACAAATTATTAATAAATATTGTACGTAATAATCAATCTTCAAATGGATATGCTATATGGAACTCCCTTTCCAGTGACTCCAGGCCCTGAAAATGGCTTCATTAGTTCATAAGGCACTACCCCAGCTCCATGCCTATTTTTCAATGTACTGTTTGCATTCCTTGAGTCTATAATACCTTCAATCTCTTTCAATTTCCTATTGAACCTTTCAAAGGCTTCCTTTATAGTTGGGTTCTCAACCCATGATGACTCCACATATTGCCCAATATATTCTTCGTCTGGCGAATGATCTGATAATAAGTTCAAAATTACCATCACTAAGGATGCTTGTATTTGTGATGGTAAACACTCCAAAAAGGCTTTATCAGGGTTGTTTAGGAATTTTTCCCATTCTTCCTTAGAAAGGTCTTCTGTAGGCATTATATTTCTTGCGATTGTTGGTCTATTAGGGAAATAACCTCCATATGCATACTGGGCAAAGTTCACAGATGCATGATGTGCAGAAGCTACCCAAGCTATAGTTGTAATGATTTGAATAAGGTCTTCAGGTGTTTTAAGATTTGGCCACCATGGTTCTTCAGATTTGTCTCCATGACCCACTGTTCGTATTTCTTTCCACCATTCTTGGAGCTCTTGGTCAGATTCTATGATGTTTGGACTTGGGTAGTAATGGTTAACATAATCTGTCACCCATTGTTTGATGGCATCCCATATAAGGAGACCATCATTGGCAAAAGGGTAATCTTCAATTGTTAGTTTTAAACCATGTGGTGCATTAGGATCTACCACAGCCATTCCTCTGAAAATAAAAATTAATACCATGAAATGAATGCTTAATGTGTTTTTGAAAAAGAAGAAACCACCGATGAAACTATAAAATTCTAAATAAACTTTACCTATGAACAAGATCATTGGGAAGTGCCTGTAAATCAAACTGCCAAAGTTGATCATATGCCACAGAGCTTATTTCCATTGAATATTTGTTAGTAGAGAATGATGTTTCAATAACCCCATTTGCACTTATAAGCACTTGACGGGCTAGGGAGTTGATCCTCATAGTGTATCTCAGATGCGGATGCAATAATCTATAAATTGGATGCATGGTGCTAAGTTGCCTATGTGTTGCAATAATGAAGGGTTCTACAGCACAATGAGTTCTTAACCTACAAAAATTTGAGTAAAATTAACACCACTTAAGACTAATATAACTTCTCATACCAACCAATTGGTAGGATCATCATATAACAATGCATGGCAAAAGAGAATAACATAACTGAACTCACCAATGGCTGATAAGTTCATGATAACCTGAATCATGGGCAAGAACGTGAGCTTTGGCAAGCCTCCAAAGCCAGTTATTGGTTGAATGAGAAGGAGGTGTGAAAACTTGCTTCCATTGTGGCTTTCCCTCCACAGCTGGTCTAGTGAGCTCAATAGCTAATGGCTTCAATGTACCTTGGCTAGTGAGAAAGAATAGTGTTCGCGATCCATATAGTGTGGTTCCCTTAATCTCTCGCACTTTGCTAACATATGGTAAGAACAGATCATGGTAGTCTAACATAAACAACTTCTTCTCTTTAATGGCCTGCATGCATGTATCCAAATTAAGTATCAACTTTAATCATAATATAGTATAAAATTAACAAAGTCATTGATGCTTTGGTACCTCTTCAACTGTGCTATAACCATTTATCTGTGATTCAATGACTTCTTTAGTGATAGCTGATTCTGGTGGACCATAGATTTGGGGTTCTAACTTACTTCTCAAAGGCCATTCCTACATGATGAATACAAAAAGATTAATACTGAAAAGCTTTTTAGTATGACACCAATAGACAATAACAAAATATTTGTAGTATATCTTGCCTTGACCATTTGGATGCTATATGGGTTGACACCTGCCAAAGTCTCCCTAGCAAATTCCTCATCTGATAACCAAAAGAATTTGTCTCCTGCAATTACCAAACTAACAATCATATAGTGATATAGAAAACTTTACAGTTTGTTTTCTCTTTTAGATATAAGACAAGATTGTGCTAGCATCTTAAGTTCAAATCACTTTATCAACACGAGTTCCCACTATAGATCATTTAAAAGTTCTTTTGGAGAAGTGATTTTAGTATTTCTCAAACATGGTCTAAAGCAAATAGTGCGCATAAATAGTTGTGTGGCGTTAATATTAAAATACAGGATAAATTACACTTTACTGCTTTATAATTTTACATTTTCTTAATTAATCTTCTATACTTTTTTTCCACTAAATTTTTATAATTTTTTTACGTATAACTTAACCTCCTTATAGTACTACCTCTTTTGTATTATTTTACTCCTATAAAGGGGTTATTGACAGAAAAAATGTATACGAGAGTAAATTTAAAAAAAAAAAAAAAGAGCATGAAACTACAGGGAAACAAATTGTAATGTTCCTTAAATATAAGCATTTATGTAGTTATAAGTGCACTTACTTTTAGCTGCTTCTGGAACATCGAAACGCAGAAGGTTCTGGCTATCATTAGCAACTTTGAGGAAATTGGGAATGACTCTTTGGAGCAATGTCAACCCATTGTCATTAAGAGTTGGTAAATGAAATCCTTCTTTATAGAGCTCATCTATGTCTTCAAAGCTTACAAACCCAAGTTTTTGGTCAGTGAGAATCGCATCTAAGGAATCCAAAATTCCATTTAGTCCTGAGGATACTGTGGTGGTTGTGAATTGTGTTTGCTTTGTCTCATCAAATGCTTCATCGCGAGGAACATAGAAATTTAAACCTTTCTTCTCAGACATTGGGTCTGTATAGCAACAATCAAAACCACAAACGGACAAAATTGTGTCATAAGCTTACATCATCAAAATATGTAAAAGAAGCAATGAGTTGAATAAATTGATTAGCTAATTTTAGATTCAATCTTATCTGTGAAAAATTGAAAAATTTTAGGAACAAGGAATTATTTTGTATTATAAAAGACAAAATATATTAAAAGATATGTAACAATATAAATTAATTATATGACAATTTTTCTAATATCAACTCTTTCCACTTAAAAAAATGGTCATTTACTAAGAATTTAGTATTGAATTAGCTAGTCTCTGCTGGTATAAATATTTTTTTAATATAAACTAAATTTGTAGTATAGATATATAACAATTATATATACTATCAATGCATCAAACGTGAATAAACTCAGCTATCTATTAGTATAAAGTGCAAAAATCATTAATATCAATTTAAATTTTTATCAGACAAATACTATATTAACGGTCACTATTGTAATAGATGACAATTTTTGTTTGCAAGTAATTAAAAAAATTCAGTAGTGTTATATTCAATAATTCATTTATATTTAAAGTTTTAAACAAATTGAGAAACACGTCAATGTATTTTACTTTGATCATACTACATTAATAGATTCGATTTTAACTTTTTTTTTCCCTTCTTTCTATAGCCTATTACAAATTTGAACTTATGATCTGAAGGGCAAAAACACAAAAGATGAACTATCATAAGAAAAGGGACATAAGAAAAGTAGGTGAACATAGTAATGCACAGAATCGAGTGAGAATGCAACTCACTAAAATCAGTGATTTAAATGCTTACCTAGATATGTTTAATGTAGGGTTTTGTTAACCAATGTCCTAAGCATAGTGATTTAGAAATTGAAAAATAACAATTTTTGTTAAAAATTATAGAATGAATGTATTTTTATGTTGTTTGATAAAATATTTATAGTTTGATTCGTTAACAATATCCTAAAGATACTTGTTAGCATTTTTCTTTAATATAAATGAAGATTATCAAAAACTTTTCCAACTCACTTATTAAACACAATGTTTTTAATAAATCCATTATATATATATATATATATATATATAACTTATATTTAATAGTCATGAAAGTAATAAATTATAATTTGTTAGATATAAATTAAATGAACTTCACGGTAAATATAAATTAAATAAAAAATTTAAATTAGATATAAAAATTTTTAGATTTAAACTAATATGAGAATATCATATCCTCTCTATATATAAATTTACATGAGCAAATGACCTGCATCAGAGTGCTTTCGACCAGTACGACACCGTCTTGGATATGGATATTGTTTGGAGGCACCAAGAACAGGTCTTTTGTGGTCAATGCTGGAGTCAGGATCCCCAAGATCATTGTACACATCATAATCGTATATTCTATCAGAGCTTTTGCGCTCTCCTTCTCCATTCCCTCTTAGTAGCATCAAATCCTCTTCTCTCAACTTTCTCAATCCACTTGGTGTTTGTGATGGCAAGTACAACTGTCCCATGCATAGTTTGGTCAACATCAAAATCAATATTGTGCCAAACACTATAAAATAATACAGTAATAACAAAATGAAAAGTGTAACATACAAAATTTAATGGTGCGTGTGAAAGAGGTATACAACTAATTAAGGATATATAAGATTTTTTTGGCAGGATAAAGGCGTGAAGAAGTTAAAATAAAAAAAAGTTTCTTCCATATCTAATGTTTGATTGTCGAGTTTAGCACTTGCCATTGAAATTTAGTCACTCATGATGTCGCAATCAAATAAAATAATGAAAGAAAATGAATAACGTACTCTTAGTACAAATTAAATATTGAAAATTTGCAAGAAACGTGTTGTGGCATTTTATTAACATCTCCGAAGAATTGTTTTCTTTTAGAAGAGAGGTGAGATGAAGAAAGAAGTTTTATTTATTTATTTATTTTCCTTCAATGAAACTTCAAATAAAAGTTAGTCCCCGGAATATACATAAAAAGATTTATTTCTGAATTTTGAAAACCATGAAATGTTTTAAAAATATTATTTGATCTTTATGCTTCGCGTGAAAACATTAGAAGCATGAAAAGTTTTTTCAATTGAATAAATTATACTTTTTTAAAGAAAAAAATCATTGGAATTAAATTTAATAATTTTAAACAAATGAAGTATCAATAAATTTATAGATCATGAAACTAAAAACAGATTAGCATGAAATTTTATGATTCAAACCTTGTTAGTGAAGAAGACTCTCTTCACAGGACTATCATGCTTGGGCTGAATCCATGAATCACAGTTAAATTGCAGAGGGCCATGAGGGAAGCCATCAAGAACAATGTTCTTTAGAAACACCTCTTTGTGGTCCTCATTCTGCACCAAAATAGCACCCACTTTCCCGAAGTCGACTGGTAAATCAAATGTGGCTTCATATTGCACCTCATCCTCTTTTGTCTCAATCTTGTGCACATTACTTTTTATTGTCTTTCTCTCCGAGTTCGTTTCTTCATTTGTAGAAAACAACGGGTAAGACACAATAAAGAAAAACAAAAGATATTCCATCACGAGTGTCTTAGACTCGTTGAAATTTGTAGTCAATAATTGTAAATTTTAGAGGAAAAGTGTACTCTAAATTAAAAATTTCTTTACTTTTTACATAAAAATGAAAGATACAAGTTAATGTTATCTCATCTTAAAATGAAGATATATGATTTATGAACCTAATCACTAAAATATTATCTAGCTTAAACACCAATCAGTTGCATCAACGCAAATCAATTTTAACAACTTAGGGGTCTTATCCAAATTGTTTTAAAATAATTTAAGTTTTTTAGTTTTAACACGTTTTTATTTATTTTTTATTATAAAAAGATTCAAAGAAAAATACTAATAATTAAGAAGATAACATTTTAAAATTAAAAAAGATAAAATAATATTCCCTAAAAGTAAATTTACTTGGATGAAGTTCTTCGCTGACAAGCTCCAAAGCAAGTGTTTTGCCAACAAATTCTTTGATGCCACCAAGACCTTCATTAACAAGGTCCCCTAAGAGGCCACCCCCACTTTGCTTCACAGTCACAAAGGCCTTCACAGTTTGAGACTTGGTGACAATGATGTTGGTGTTGTTGGTGTCACCATTGCTAGCCATCACAGCTTTCATGCACCGGGACACACACCCTATGTGAACCCTTTTACCTCCCCTAGTAATAGAAAAAGAGTGTTTACTCTTCAGGTTCAAGAACAAACTATTGCTATGACTTGTGTTATCTTTCCCATTTATATATAGTAAAGGGAAAGATGCACTATTGAAGATAACTGATTGGTGAACATTGGAAGGCTTCAACGTCATGGTGTTCTCAATTTCGCTTACTCGATGGATCTTAGATATATTTAATTGCTACGATGAAATATTGCATTTATTTAAGTTGGAGAGCTACCAAAAGGGCTTATTTATAATCCCGTATTGACGAAGGATGAATCACGTTGTGTACGACCAATTGAAATGGTCGTTCGATTATTTTTAACCTTTTTGCCTACGACAAAAAAAATATCCAAAACGCAGACACATAAGATAAAATCTCCACAAAGATTCAGTTGGAGAGGCTTTTGTGGAAAAAATTGTTCTCACACGTTAAGGATTCACACCTCGGAACACTGTACGAAGTTTCTCACGAATGGGATGCACTGCATCTTGAGGAGACCGCGATCTATATTTTTTTTTAACATAGTTTTTTTAAAAATTATTTTTAAACATATAAAAGATATTTATATTTTTATAATTTTAATAGAATAATCTCTTATTTTTTTCTATAAAATCTTACCACTTTTAGATATTTAAAATCAATTTTTTTAAGTGCTGATTTTAACATTTTGTTTTCTTGAATTGTTTTTACGTGTAATTTGTATAAGCTATACATAATTTGTCTTTAAATTATATTGTTATTTTCCATTATTAGTATTTCACTTGTGTAGTTTATGCAAGTTGTCAGATAACAATTCAATCCAGCGCAATTGTTTTGAAATTTTCAAATTATGTTTGCACCCAATTGAAATAATATGTGGTCGTAGAAAATTTTCCATATTTTTTAGCCCCTCGTGTGATAATTATTCAATCAGTGCAACTATTTTGAGATTTCCAAATTATAGAAGCACCTACTTGAAATAATACATGGTCAGAAAATTTTCAAAATTTCTAGCCCCCTAAAATTAAAGCTAGCAATTGAAAACAGGACACAGAAGGTGGGGTCCCTATCTGTAACAATTCAATCCAATTAGTTCAACTGTTACAGACAAAGCAAACTTTTGTAATTTGAAACCTTAAATATAATAGGGCTTTTTCATATGAGAAAAAAAAGAGGGAAAATTATCATATTTTGAAAAAAAATACAAAAATATAAAAATTTAGTATTTTTAAGTACTTTAAAATTTTTCTTATTTTTAAAATTTATTATTATATTTAAAGAATCACTATTGACATGTTTTGAATTTTTTTAAAATTTTAATATATTTTTTAAATCACCAAGATACTTTATATTTTTGTTATTTCATCTATTAATATTTGCACTTATATCAAAAGTCGTCGTTATTAAAAAAATTTAAATTTTTGTAATTTTGTTTAAAAGAATAATATTTTAGTTTATATTATTTTTAAATATCATATGTAAAAAAATAATCAGATAATGTCAAATATATTTGTCTACACCGTTTTGAAATGTGAATGCTTTCGAAATTTAAAAACTTTTACCTAATGGTGTCCCAAAAGGAGGAACTTTCCCATTGTTGGAAAAGATGAATTGCTAGAAATGGTTTATGAACCGACCCACTTAATTTCCATAAAAAGGAGTAAATGGCTAATTAATGGGAACAACCACTTCCAGAAGTTCCAGTGTATGAAGAAAAAAGCTATATATTATAAACTTTTCATGCTGAGTGTGGATATTGTGCCACGTGGCTCTGTAAACGTTGAGTGGGCCGAGCTTTAGGTTTGAGACGAATTAATGCTTCGTACGGATTATTCTCTGACACGTGACTTATTTGTTAACATCTAATATTTTGATATATATTATACCAGTGGGATTGTTAATAGTATACTTTTTTATTATTTTTAAAAAATTAAAATAATTTTAAATTTTTTTAATTAATTAATGAGATAAGTATTTTATTTTTTAAATAATAATTAACTGTAAAAATTTGTTTAAAAATGTATCACTAATTAATGTTTTTTACCGAAACAAATTTCAGAAGAAGATTACTGTATTAGTAATGTACTGTTCAAAGAATAAGAATGATATATTTGAATAATACTTTAATCATGTGTTTGAACAACACATTCCAAAATTTCTACGATATTATTTGAATAATAAAAAGTTAATTTTAAAATATTACAACAGTTTAATTAAATAGTTTTTGTTCAATAATTTAAAAAACTTATTTTAAAAATAATTTAAAAAATTATTTTACATACTTAATTTTTATATTTATTATTCATTACTTTTTTATATTTAATTCACACTCTACGCAGGAAGCGTTCTTCAATTATTTTATATTTTTTAGAATTTCAAATATTTTTATCCAAACACAACTTAATTAATAATTAGTTAGAATGTAATTGTATTTGCGTTAAGAAGCAATTCTCAATTCGGAATAAGCTATATACATATTCGATATTATCTATATCGTTTTATATGATTTCTTAAGGAATTGTTTGAGAAGGAGAATTTTTCAAGAAGAGAAGTGGATAAAATTTATATTTTAAATAAATATATTTAAAATTAATATTTTTAAAATAAAAATATAAAATAATATTTAATATATTAATAATATATTTGATTATAAATTATATTTTTTTAATTTAAAATTTAAAAATATATTTTCTTAAAAATTATCTTCCAAACATCCTTAAAGAAATTATTGTTGGAAAATATAAAGTGAATTAAAACAATAAAGTGATTTCTATTATAGATCACAAATAAATTATATAAGTAAATTTAAATATTATATCTAATTTTAATATAAAATATTATTGTTCTTACTTATTACTTCAGCAATTAAACGAGAGATTGGAAACAAGGTTATTAAACAACGATTCAACATTGAATGAGACAAATGATTTGGATTTGGTGGCAGTGATCGAAGAATAAAGATACCGTAGAAAGGCACTAAACAACCATTCAACTTTTCTTCCGTTCTACAAGAAGAAACTACATTTAACCTAACGTTCTCTTCTTACGTTGTACATATGAAAATAATTTGTGTGAAAAATCAATGCATCTTATTATATTTATAGCTTATTATATTTACTCCATTTATGAAGCTTTTATTAAATGTGAAATAAATTAAAATTTCATTTATATGTTAATTCATAATCATAAAATAACTTCTTTAAAATTGTTCAAAGTAATAACAAGAGCTTCGATGTATTAATAAAACAAGTCATATATTTAATATTTTGAGCAATAAAATTAAATTCACTATTTAATATTTTTTAAATTTAGAACCATTGATATCAAAATATTGCTTTCGACATCTAGTTCACGACAAATTGGGTAGAGCAACATGAGAAGCAAGTAAAAGTTATGTTTCATTATATATAATTAAATTAAAAATTAATAAAATAAGACTTTTTGAATAGCAAAAAAAGCTGTAAATATATATTGTTTGAATTAAGATACACTATATTTTTGTCAATTTGATATAGTATGTAGAAATTTAAAATTTAATATTCAAATCCAAATTTAGATTTACTAAACTTTAAATAATTATATTTGAAAGAAATAAAATTAATTATTATATAACCTCAAAGGTTTGAATTCAACTATTTTAAAATTTATTAGCAAGAAAGTAAGAGTTAGCCTAAACATTTAGCTGACCTAATTTTAATAATAGAAAGAACTAATAGTGAAAGTGGTTAAACTGTTCATTACAGAAATCGTAAAAATGTTGAATTTTCGTGGGGATAATCACGCAGATAAAGTCAAGAGACAGGTAATCAATCAATCATGATCCATGATTTATTGTATTAATTATTCTATATATTTTATTATTATTAATGGCTTAAATATATTTTTAATTTTGATATTTTATTAGATTTATTTTTAGTTCTTTTAAAAAATTTCTTTCAGTCTTAATCTTTACCTTTTTAAAATTTAATAATTTTAATCTTTAATGATGACACGGTTAATAAAGAGATTACTTCGAAAGATTAAAAGTGTTAAATTTGACCAAAATTACGTTATTTTAAAAATTTACTAAAATTATATATAGTTATTATAAATTGTTTCAATAAATAGTGATGAAGATCCCTGATTGGATGTGATTGTTGACTTTAAAGCCTTCACTGAAGCTATTCATGTACAAGTTAGATTATTGAAAGATAATGGTTGACTTAGTATTAGAACTCATGCAACACAAGTTTGTATGAGTCATAATGGTAGCCAAAAGTTGAGTTACCTTGGCGTAAGATTTCCACTGAAGAAAATATTTTGGATATATATGGTTTACTTTTGCGTTATGAAACAAACAAATGCTAATATTAGATACGACATATTGCTCAACAAAATTTGGTAAAACTAAGCCTATTCTATTATCTATGTTGCACAAAATAGCTTCTTTTTTTGTTTTTTTTCATTTAGCACTATACACACCCAGTGATATAGTGATATATATATTATATGTAAATAAAAAATCATCTTAAAAAAAATAATGATCATAGTAATAAGATTAAAAAATAAACGATAATAATAATAATAATGATAATAAAACTAATAGTAATAATATGACGGGTAGAAAAGATTGGTAGTTGTAATAATTATTATAACAATAAACAGTAATAATAATAGTAACCTGATTTATAATGATAAAAATAGTAAAAGCAAAAACACAATCTAAAAATTAAGATAAGAAAGAAAATTTTATTTATTGATCTTTCCTAATACAATTTTCGAATGAAGAATTTATAAATTTTTAATTAAAAGATAAAAATATTTTCACTTACACAGAATGATCAATATACATGACTGTATATAAAAAATTGAGAGTTAAATTTTTTAAGACTTTATATGATTAATAACTTATTTCTTAGATAATTGATTTGTTCAATATACAAAAAGCTTTACCCTCTTATCCTATGAAAATAATTGATTGTTACATTTAATGATCAATTTATTTTTTTTTATGATTAGATATTTTAAGAGCACTATTTATATTTTTGAAAATTAAAATATTTAATTATTAATTTGTATAATTGATTGTTTAAAAAACTCAAATTTTCATTCATAAAAAAATATATTCAATCAAATAATTAGTTACTGTATTTTGAATTCAGTTTCAGGTTATTGAAACCCAAAACAATCTATTATTCAATTATTAAACAAGGATTTGAAGTTCAACACTTCATAATTTTAATCTATAAATAGCTCTAGCTTCGTTGTAAATCTAGTATGATAGTAATGGTGGTCATATATATGTTTGTGCTTGCTTGTCTAGAAACA